AGGAACAATATCCCACACTCCATACAAACAAAAGTAAAAATTCAAAGAGAGAACAGCGTGCACATGTGACTGTATGCAGTTGCGAGCGCAGTAAAAATCTTACTTAGGCCTAACAACTAAACAAAAGAGTGTACTCGTACTCGCAGTTTTTTCTCTCTCTATTTTTGGTACAGTATTTCACTCACGGGAGCGTCTCGAGATCAGATGTGCAAAAGTACCTTTCTTGCTCATTTTAATCTCCTTTACACATATTTGGATTTATATCCACTTCAAATAATTAGTCTATGAGATTATGGATATTTTTATACGCACTATATTACTTACAATAGGACCTGTGGCGTAGTAATATTTGACTTACTTTAACAACATGGGGGAGGGGACACCCCCCCCCCCAATTCCATCACTAAAACAACTTTGACAGCATCTCTTTCTGCAGCAGGACAGACGTGAGCATGACAGGCATTTAACATGGTAAGTGCAAAACAACTTTCAGCCTTTACAAGAATGCAAGAGAATAAATATCTTTGCTTAAAGTTAGGGCAATCATTATTTTTAAGTCTATCAGTCTTACCTGAGACAGAGTAAAAGGTACACACAAAATCGTAACGACAGTTTATTATGACATTTAAAAAGGCACTTTACACATGTACATGAAACAAGAATCAAGCTATACAAAAATCACCAGTTGGTAGTTGATCCATTTTATCCAAATGAAAATTTTCCCAATAATAGCAACACTAAATGGAAATTAGCAATTCTCTTCTCATTTCATTCAAATGCTTTGAAAAGGCAAAATTGAAGCAGTTTCCTGAAAATATTCGACCATGTCCTTCCTAAAGCAGACAAATTGCAAGGGCCAGATAACAATGTAGATCAGCATCAAAATAAATTAACACAGCGACATGACGTTGCAGAAAGTAGATACAGATAAAGGGTAGCACAACATGATAATGCAGTGTGGATGACATGAGGCAATAAAAGACTGTTGAGCTTAAGCCCACATACAATTACCCCCCCCCCCCTCTCAGATTTCTAGTCCTGCAAGACACTGAGTATTCGAAAACAATCAATAAATTGGAAAACAAAACAAAAAGGCAAACAAGATGAAAGTAATGATAATAAAAGAATTGCAAAATTTAAAGTAGGCATAGTGATGAAGGAAACAATGTTTTATAAAATGGGTACTTGGTAGTCGGGAATTACACTCTAAAAAATAATATCAATTTAGCAAGGGAAATGATATCATGATGGAACAATACAACCAGCAAAGACAAAGTTTCAGTAGCAAAAATCAACTTAGTTTTTGTTTGAGCGGATACACAACTACCAATGAGCACTTGTTGCACAAGGTTCTATTCTTCTATGACAGTGCATAGCCCATTTAGTTATAACCTTTGCTAATGGAGGTAAGATGTGAGTTTAGTTTTTATTCAGAAAGACATTGGTAACTTACCACTTCAATGCTATAAGAATTATGTAACTTTGTTATTGATCATATAATCCCTATTGAGCATCTTCCCAATTTAGTTAAGAAAAAGAATCTCTGTAAGTACTGCATATACCATAAAAATGAAATAGAGAGTAATCTTGAGCTCAATGTTATAACTTTTCAATTTATCTGCGCAAAGAAAAGGAATCATAACTTACTAGAAAACAAAAATCCATCAGTGTGCAATATGATACAAAGACAATCATCATTATCTTATCATTGCGATATCTTACTGGATTATAAAAGACATTTGTGTCACGACGTGGTGAAATCAGGCTCTCGTTAATTTTTGAGCATGTAGAGCTATTGGAATCATCTTAAAGCTTGTTCTCTTGTCTTTATTTGGATGAAAAAAAAAAATCCATTTATCTTGAATACAAGTTGAGATACTTGTAAATGAAGGAGGTGGGGGTCACCCAGTTGCAGAGGTAAAATTAGTGAGAAAATGACCACCAAAAATTAGTTATTTGCTTAGTTTAAGGGTCTGTGGTAACTGAAAATTTACATTGTCTGTGCCTTTAATAAATGATTTTCAGTAAAATCCACTCAGAAATGAGTTCTTTAATGGGCATGCAAGGTGCTGAGCTAAAAATTAAAAATTCAATAAAAATTCACAAACCAGCAGAAAAATGCCAGTTTCTTCACTTTGATTGTTTTGACGAGAGCCTGATTCCACCACGCTGCCTCACATTTCATTGAAGAAGTTAGCGTAATGTTGAAAAACTTTTCAAGGCAATTTAAACTTATTTCGGCTTTAATCAATATGAAATAATCTAATAAAGAAAAATGTGTAAAAAAACCCATGAACTTTATTAAATCAAATAACTATTTTTTGCAACTGAAGCGGGGGAGACAAAGGGTAACGAATATAATATAGCAAAATTATTAATGAGGAACTAAAAAAAAAACAACACCCCAAAAATCAACAACTTTAGATGACAAGTTTATATTTTGTGGTCAAGTGATAATTACTTCTGAAAGAACTACCGCAACAGTAATAAAACAGAATGCTTTTTTGATGGAGCCGTTGTTGCATATTTGTGTTGACTACACAAAAGTTATTTGTCTGATTACCTCTTTCTTTTCATTGGTATCCACATCCGTCTCCACTGACATCATAGATATAGTCTGGCCACCCATGTTCCCTGTACCGCACAGTTCTTTGAAAGACTGCACTTGTGATTTGACCGTCTCCACGCCAAGCACCACACCAGCCTTCATCCGGCTGGCAGCTGAACTACCAGTTTCTTTAATGCTGTGAACATACACGCTTCCGCTCTCTTTGATGGACTGCACGTTCTTCCGGACCTGCTCCATTTTGCGTCCCATTCCATAGCGAAGACGTCCACGAGCTTCCTCAAGGGATTCAAAGATGGCGTGAGGTCGCCAACTACCAGGATTTTCCAATTCATCGTAATGTCCCTGCTCTTGATCTTCTATTTCCACTGCCGTACTCCAAGCCACGATCGTTGGAGAGCTAGGAGGAGATTTCTCTGAGCCTGAGTCAATGAAATCTTTTGAGTTACACTGGTCAAATGTTGTAACAGTAGACTCAGCAGCTTCAGGTGGGTGCTCTGATGGTGTTTTCGAGAAGATTGGAACACTGAAGAAATGCTTACGCCGCAACCAGACCACAAGCATCTTCACGGCTCCGATGATGAAGCCAAGAATGAGACTTCCGACTGCACAACATCCACTGATGAATAAACTTTCCCCATATACAGATTTGATGGCAGATATTATCTTGAGATCAATGTTATGAGTTTGATTGCCAGCAAAATTAACAGCAATGCACCGATATGTACCCGAGATGCAACCCCGGAACTTTGATATTTGCAATTTATTGTCAGCCAGGAGATGAATAGAAGACTGGAAAAATACATTTTCATCTTCATATTTGCCATACATGTGGTCTAAATTAGAGCTGTCCAATAAGTCCCCTTCATTTATGAGTATTGTGGATGCAGACCTATTATAAAACTTTTCTCCCCAGGGAGTGATCCACAACATGGCAGGAGGTGGGTAACCTTGAGCATTACACTCAAGAGTAATTGTGTCGGTAATGAGCACAGATCTAGCGGTGGAAGGATAGCTGATAAAATTGTATGGACTTGTACATGAAAGATCCGACTGATTCACGGTAAGTAGTCTTTGCCCCTTAAAAGCATCAGGAGTTGAGCAAACTGTATCTTTTTCTCTTTTTATACTTTGCAACAAGGATGGAACAGCGTTAAACAATTCTCCTAGAACACATGAGCACTCAAGGGGATTATAAGAAAGGTCTAAAGATGTTATGTTCCGGATGGACTCAAATGTTGAATCATTGATACTCAACATGAACATGGACAGCTTGTTAAAGTGCAGATTCAAATCTTTCAAACTGCCGCTAGCAGGCAAATGGTCAGCCGTGACCTCCAGCAGTAGATTATGTTCCATGTTCAGAGACTCCAAGGAAGATAAATGAGATAAACTTGAGAAAGATATCCTTTGAATCCGATTATAACTTACATCTAGGTCTCTGAGGAATGTCAAGCCATTTAAGCTGCCAGGATGTAACGTGGTGAGTTCATTATGAGAAAGATCTAAGTGTAGCACATCAGTCAAACCAGCAAACGTATCCTCAGGGACGTCTTCTATACCGCTATGGCTTAAGTTTAAGAATGACTGTAGTTTCATATCTCCAAACATACTGGTCCTGAGACTTACAGGAACAATTGAAAGATCAAGGCCATTAAGTGTGGGCAAACAATCAGAATGCTTGAACAATACTGACACATCGCCAGCTACTCTTAAACTGACAGCTTCCTGAGCTAAGGTGAAATGCTGTAGCTCCTTACAAGACTTTTGCCACTCTGCAGAACTGCGAACCTGGCACGTGACAAACTCGTGGCTTTGTGAAAGTGTCAGGCATGCACATAGATGGGGACAAGAATCACTAGTACTCCTCGCCATAGTGTAGTCTGGTGCAATTACAGACATCGATGGAGACGTCAGCAACAGCACCACAGCAAAAACAGCACAGGACGACATCTTCCCCATATTGACACTTAGACCTGAAAAAAAAAAAAAAAGCATTATAATACATCCATACTTCAATGGCTCAGTGCATCTTGACAGACAATCTCAAAGCAGTATGCACAACACAGTTTTGCCTGGGCAGTAAACAGGGGAAGTGGATTGCCCCCACTTCAGATCTCAACCTTGATATATGCTCCGCAGGAAAGACATGGTTGCTACGTTAGAATCAAGGAAAGTGTATTTTAAGTGTGTCTGACAATTTTAAAAGTGTGACGAGGATATACAACTTACTTTATATGGTAGGAAATTTTCAAAGTTTGAACTTTGCCCAAGTGGCAGTCAAAGGCCTACTCTTCAACGATATTCATCCGCCAAGGGATCTTGAAAAAGTACAGTGGGCACAATGGACCTCCGACATTTTCTCGTAAATTTAAACTAAACCACACTGAAATATTAAATATGTTGTTAAACGAACATAAAAGGCGCTGAATGGGGGGAAAAATTTGAAAATGTTGGTGTCTTCGATTTCATTATTTCCATGAGTGCCCGATTTCTCAAAAACGCCATGAACTGAACACCTCATAAATCAATACGACAAGCTTAGAGTTCAGAACAACAATTTAAGTCTATAAGGACATTTTGCAAGGTGGGTAGTATGCACACCTCCATGTTTAAAACGATACTTTTAATCCCTGGGACAAAATTCGGTTCAGAATTTAAGAGAGCAGTCTCAACCAAACAGCTGGATCAGACACAATGCTAGCCAACTAACATGCAAGCTAAAAGCCACATTTTGGTGGTCCATGCCATCATATGACGAATATGTCCATTTTCACCAGTCAACAACAGCGTAGTGGTGGGCAGATTTGCAGGAAATGAGTACCGGCGACAGCAAATCCCAAATCCTTGTCCTCATGACACTTCGCAAGCATGTGTTCCCTTACTTGAGTACTCTTTGCTGTGTCAAGCAGCAGAACAAACCCAAATTCAACTCCTATTACCAGTACCAGGCGAGCTCCTGTCATGCGATTGTGCAGCATTACAACAGCGTGGGTTTTGGAATTGCCTCAACTTTCTGTATTATTTCCACTTTTACCAGTCTCATGCTCATGTATTGTATAGTATAGCTCCTTTTCTCTCTCCTTTTTATCCCTTTTTTAATGAGAATATTGACTTTATATCTGTAGCATCTGTAGTGGCGTCGGTGGCCTAGTGGTTAGGCTCTCGGACTCGCAACCGTAAGGTCGTGGGTTCGAATCCCGTCAGGGACCCGGCGTTGTGTCCTTGGGAAAGGCACTTTACACGAATTTTCCTCACTTCACCCA